AGAGGGGCTTTTCGGCTACCCCAGACCTGGTGTTCTGTTTCCTTTCCTGCGTCGTCACCACACTAAACTTCAAAGAAAGGAAGAGATCATCAAACCCTAGTGCTAAGGGAACCTTATTTGGGTGAAGTAAGGGAACTGAGCAGAAGGACAAACTGTAGATAAGGCACTGGACTGGGACTCAGGAGAACTAGGTTCAATTATCATCTCTACCACAGACAGCTTTGACCATGGGCAAGTCACTTAATCTTTCTGTGCTCTGTTTCTCCAGGTGTAATATGGTGATAATAATATTTCCCTCTCCCAACCTTTGTCTGTCTTGTCTATTTAGTCTGTAAACTTTCTGGGGCAGAGGCTATCTTCAACTATGTTTTGTACAGAAAGCTGTATAACTAAGATAAAGACAGAGGTGCTTGCTCTCCCTTGTGCAGTACTGTTCTCTTATTTTATAAGTTGTAAAAACATTCACATAGCACTTCACATTTTCAAAGAAGGCAGGATTATTTAGTGGTTCATGTAGGAGACTGTGATTGAGAAGACTTGTGTCATAATCCTGGCTCTAAATGGTTTATAATGTGTCACAAGACAAGCCCATTGTAGCATAGCACGGACTCACCATCGCGGCGCCTCCCCGGAATTAGCTCTCTCAGCCCTAGAGCGCCCTCTATGGGACGGTGTCTCGCCCACTGTTACCTACCCCTCTGCAGTCCCTTTATCTCTCCCACGTGTAGGCCCCACGTCCCTCACACTACAGTGCCCCTTACCTTGGGGTGCTGCCCATCACCCAGGGAACCCCATTCCCCTGAGCCCACCTCACCTCAGTGACACACTGCCAGTCCTCATCTAGCCCCTTTACTCAGGGGCAAACTGCAGTCTGCAATGGCCACTCATCATTGGCTAGGGGGTTGGACCTGCTGCCTTTCCCTGCAGCCCCAGTACCTCCTTAGGTCTTCCTGTTAGGCCTCAGCCTGGGAGGTCGCCAGGCCTGAGCTCCCCAGCTCAGCTCAGCCTGCCCCTCCCCCAACACTGCTCTGTTGAAGGTACCCTGTGCTCCCAGACAACCCGGTCCTTGCCATGCCAAGGCTGGAGTGAGACTGCTTGCCTCCTAGCTCACAGCCCTCTTTATACCAGCCCTACCAGGCCTGGATTGGCTGCTACCTGCCTTCCCCTGATTGGCTCCTCAGGGCAGCCCTTTCCCAGAGCTGATTTTAACCCCTTTCTCTCCGGAGCGGGGTGCTCGCCCCGCTACACCCATGCAGTACTCAGGAGCTCCAGTGGTGCCCACTGTGGCACTTAAGCCCTACCAAACCCGTGGATTTTCTGAGCTTTGACCAAGTTGATGAACTTCACAGGACTTCTAGGCCAAGACATTTTTTGACTAAAAAAGGGAAAAAAGAATTTTCAAAATAATATTTTCCCCCAAACTTCCATATCAGAAAAGTGTTGTCTGATTCAAATTAAAAACGCCATTAAAATGCTCCCTTTGGCCAAAGACCACCCAGGCAAATGTCAAGTATGAAGGGCAGTTTTCACAAAGTGTGAGTATGAGTTCACACAAATGGAAAGCTGGTTTTCATCTTTAACTATGGAGTGAACAGAGTCTCTCTAAAATTTAGAAATTGTGTTAAACATATGATAATCCTGAATATACACCTTACCTTACAGTTTTGGCAACATAATCCAGTACCACACTTTGCTCTTGGCTTAAGTCTACATTTGTTAGTGCAGCATTTATCTTTTGCACACTCCTGAAAAATAAACCATAGACGCATTAGCTATTCTAAAATTTTCCTTCTCTAAAGAGTCTGTCTGTCCAAGATTCTCATTCCTTAAGAATAACAACTTGAAAGATCCGCAAAGAAAAATGAGTGTCAAGCAACAACAAGGTTAATACCAACATGAAAACTGTTTATAAATATATGTAAGTCCTTCAGTGACTTTCCCAAATTTCAGTTGGGTACTAACTCTCAAAGCACCATTCTTCTAAACTGAGAACAGTGGAATTTTACACTACTTAGGCTTTCTGGTATTGAGTACTAACCTGTGCTGAGCCACAGTCACACTGCTCTCCTCTTTCCACAATACGATTGCCACAGACTGAAGCCCTCTTGTAGGACGTATTCAAATAGGGCCTGTTAGAGAGGCAGTCTCCTCCCCTATGTTTTATAAAACTTTTGAAGTCTCTAATGCTGCAGCTGCTAAAGGGTTTTACTCCATTGGAAAGTCTAAAAATAAATTATCAATGAAAAATTATACCAACTGAAGATATTAACGATCCTGGAGTACTTAATATCATTAATGCTACTTTCCAAAATATTCAGCTGAGGGTCTTTCAGTTCATTTTGTAAAACTGCATTCAAATAATGTCTTAAGAATAAAAATTGGCAGAAATTAGCAACTAGAATACCATCCTTTTGTTTTATTGAGAAAGATATTAATATTCCTTTATCAGAGATATCCGCTAACTTAATTGTGCCTTTATCTTCCCAGAGGTAAAACATGGAATATCTAAATATGTTAGGGTTATTAACGGATAATGGAAATACATTTTCATTTATTTTCTTATAAACTAAAACTTTATGTGAAATATTAACAAAATCACATCACTGGATTATTTATAATGGCCTTAGTTTCCTTTAAATCACATATACACAAAACATTACATAAATAATAAAGAGTTACAATATCCTGAGCCATTTTATCAATACACAGATCAAATCTCCCTGTACCTGAGAAAAATAAATTGAAGTTGAACAATCTCATTGTAGAGCTAGATTCTGATGATGGTTTTTGTAACACGGACATCTGTCCATTAAAAACTAGAAAAGATATGCCATACCTCAAACAGAAGTTATTTATTTGATGAACAAATTACCAGGTGAGGTTCTATGGCCTGTGTTATGCAGAACACCAGAACAGATGAGCATAATATAGTTCCTTTTGGATTTATGAACTCATTTCATATAAATTAATTGCCACCAGCTACTAATGATTATTTGTCACAATAAACCTAGGCCCCAATACTGAAAACACTTCAGTGTGTGAACAGTTTCCCTGAGTTAGTCACAGGCATCTGTTTCCATAGGGTCCCTTGGCTGGATTTGACTCAGTGACAGCAGGATTAAATGATCCTATTGACAGTCCCCTGAGCCACTGGTTAGCTTATTAGCTTGTGAACACTTTCAGAAGATTTCTGGAGCAGTACAGAGTAGCTCATTTTTAGCTTGGCTTGATCTTATCTGAATTGACTATATATATTGAAAATACAATTTGAGGCTTAGTCATATGATCTTGAATGTTTTATCCAAAAAATAATTAAAAGCAGTTTCCTAGAAAAAGAGCAAAGTAACGCCCAGTGAATGCCACGGGACAAATTTTGCATTGTTACATGCATGCAATCCCACAGATTTCAGTGAGATTGCTCCCTTATTGCAGACTTGCAGACTATTGCAGACTTTGTCCAACAGAGTTTAGACTCTTTCCACCACTTTCAACGATCTAAAGGATTTTAAGCACATGACAGCCAGTAACTGTAATGATCATGCCTAGGGTGACCAGACAGCAAATGTGAAAAATCGGGACAGGGGGTCGGGGGTAATAGGAGCCTATATAAGAAAAAGACCCCAAAATCGGGACGGTCCCTATAAAATCGGGATATCTGGTCACCCTAATCGTGCCAGACTTTGAAAATTAACCCTTTCCATGCAGAATCACACAAACAGAAAACTAATTAAATAAAGCATTACAAAAATATGAACAAGCCAACAGTGAATTCTGTTCCACTCTAAGCTCATTAATACATGGGAAAGGTAACAAAAATCTACTATGCCTACTATGAACCTTACAATATAAACATGAATAATGTATACTTGCATGCAGATGTGAAAAATTATTTTCAGATATGTTCTTTAGAAATTAGTTATTTTTTTGGTATACATAACTAGCACCCAAGACTTCCATTGACAACAGGCTAATTTGAGGGTTCTCACACTTCACAGGAGGCATTCAGCACTTCACACAACCACTTAAATCATAATCCATGGTCATTTATAATGATTGAACTTGCATGCCACAGGAAAACAGTTCTCAATAATAATAATGCAATGTTACATGATGTATATAAATATAAAAATCTTACACTGCTTTGGTGTGCATTATGCAGGTGTATCCTGGACACTGACAGTCCCTAGAATCATCGTATGTTATTCCCAGGCTAAGCCCCAGCAGCTGTGCAATGATGACTGAAAATGTCTCCAGTGTTACAGCCCTTTGATACTAAATAAGAAAAAAACCTGAAAATTATCATCAAAGTAACTCAGTTAAAGAAACAAAAACGATGATAAAATTCTAAACCTTTCGGTTTCCTGCCCAGGTCGTATTTTATACAAATTTCTGTACTTTTATGAAAAGAACCTTAAGATGCTTGTCTTCAATACAAGGCCAAAGTTCATGTTGACTTACATTCTGGAAAACTCAAATGAGAGCAATGAAGATGCCCAAGATGTGAAAAACAGTGCAGAACTTGACATGCAATATGTAAAAGAAATGCATATTGTATTGCATATGGTAACTGTTCTTAAGATTCAATCCTGCAAAGTGCTAACTTCTGGCCTTGATGTAGCAAAACATTTAAAATTGTGCTTAACTTTAATTCATGATCAGTCTCAAATTAATGGGACTACTCACATAGTTATAGATAAGCATGCTTAAGTGCTTTGCTGGATTAGTGCCAGAATACTCAGCACCTTCCGAATTACAGCTCTAAAGTACCTTAAAGGGCTAAGAGGAGACTATAGAGCAAGTAAAACCCTAAAATTCAAAGTTCTACTGCAAGATATACTTATGCACTTTAGGCCAAATTTTTCTAACCAAGTGCCTAAAGTCAAGAATCCAAATCCCAATTTAACGCATCTAAATACAAATGAGCTCTTTCTTCACGGATGCTGAGCACCCACCACCATTCCTTCTGAAGCCAGTGTTACAATGTTCACTAGCAGTGTAAATCCAATAATACTATACCAAGGCAACTCCTCCAGCATAGTTTCTGAGACAAATCCTTCCTGCAAATGTTGCCCCTACATAACTAGGGTGGTCCCTGTAACTAAAACACAAAAACAGACTCTTGAATATAACTATTTTCTTTGTAGCAGTGTTTAAAATGACAATGTTGTTTGTTTTTTATAGTTTAACTTTTACTTTCTATTGTTTACAATATAAACACTCTGAGAAATCTGAAAATATTTTGTAAACACAGTACATCTAGAATTATATTTATAATAATTCATAGTGTCTGTTCTATTATTTTTACAAGAGATGTTTGTTGGTCTTGTGGAATTGTGTTGGTCCATGCTATGACAGTCTAAAAGATTTCCAGTGTGCTTTTTTAATAATAGAGAAATGTTCTTCTTACACAAATAAATATGCCATATCATGTGGCCGTAGAACAAGGTAAGATTCTTTCCATTGTAAAAATCTTTGTAGTATCTCATCAGCTTCCCCTGTTGTACGAATTTTATTATTATCTGTCCAAAACTCCAAAGAAGACAGTACAATTGTCATATTAAGGGGGGTAAACATCTGAAAATACAACAGAAGAAACAGATGCTCAATTATGTTTTATGCATAGCAGTATTTTAATTTTATAAAGATTAAGCTAAAGGCCCAACTGAGCAAAATGGACATCATACAACAGCACTTGGTTGCGGGGGCACTTCTCTCCAACATCTGTAAAACTAAAAGAGGAATGGGAAGAGAAAAATGCAAACAAAATACATAGTGCTTGCCCAGAAGACCAAACCCGATGGTTCTGAGAGGAGGGGTTTCTGTAAATAAAAAGAGGATTCATAAGTATTGCATATATTCAAATAAATAATAGGTTATAAGCCCTAACCCTGATCATGTCCACAACACTACAATTTCAGAGGCAAACAAAAATTTTTCATTTTTTTTTAGTACAAAAGGCTGAATGAGAATAGAAAATTTTTGATAGGGAAAAATTGATTTTCTGATTGGCAGCTGTTTAATGAGCCTAGAGATGCACCAATACAGCAATCTCTTCAAAGTTCCTCCTCCTTTGTGAGACATAAGGAAGAAATGGAAAATTGGAAGCACCGAGGAGCAACCCTTGCTGGCGTGTACAGGTTTAGAGATATCAGGGCTCTGGACAAGTGATTACAGAGTGGAGATCTGTTACTGTTTGTATCTCTGGAGAAAAGCAGACACCTAGGATCAAAATGACTTATGGCAAACAGAAAACAGATAATAAAGCTAGACAAAAACTTTATAAAAGTAAAATACTAATTAGAAACCAAAAACAAAAGAACCAAGAGTCAAAACAAATGCTAAAAGAGGAATAAAACAATTTTAGGGCTTGTCTACATGGGAACATTTTCCAGTTATACTGTTATAATTATACTGGTATAGTTAACAGTATAATAACCCTGTGTGGACACTCATATCCTGGAATAAGGGTGGCTTTTTTCAGTTTAGCTTAAACTGCTAATAAACTAAACCAGAAAAAGGGACTCTTATACCAGAATAAGAATGTTCACGTGGGGTGTGTGTGTTACACTGGCATAACTTAGTGGTTTATAGTCACATGCCACCTTATACTGATATAACTGCCCCATGTAGACAGGCAGACAGATTTTCACTTTCCTGAGGGACACAAATGGACAAAAACTGGGGACGGTATACTGCAGAGTTCTTACACTCTCAGATGGATGAGAGCACCATGGTCTGTGGGTGGAATCTAGGGTTGATTATGATTGGCTAACATTGTGAAAGAGGCTAAACCTGCCTACACTAGGTGCTAATGTGTTTTTAAACATCACTGAATTAAAACATGTTACATAACATATCTGTCTGAGGCAACAAGTTTAAAAAACCCACCTTTTTAACCAGTCTAGACAAGACTTCAGAGAAATACAACACAAGCTTGAGGTGATGCACTTAAATGTTTTTTCTCTAATTGCTATAAAGATCTCCTTGCTGTCATGAGCCAAAAACTTGAGAGCCAAGAGTTAAAATCAAAACTAAACAATTCCCTGGAGAAAATGAGAAAATCTAGAAAATCTTTGACCTTTAATAATATCAAAGTAAAACATCCAAATTTCATTTCAATATGAAACAAAAAAGGCAGTAACTTACACTGTTGACAAATCCAAGAAGCTGGACTATTTTTTCTGTTATAAGATCCTTGTCTGAACCCAGATAGTTGTACTGGAAAATAACACAATTCTTTAAGTAACAGCTAAAAATCATTACAATACAACATTTTTTTGGTCAGTCATTTCCCTGATGAAGCAGTGGAATGTTCACATGAGCCTCAAATTCTGAGCATTCAAATGTGTCTAATTATTTTCATTCTTGGTTTCCTTCCAAGTCCATAAACAAAATATGCATTGATCCTTTGACAAAATGGCTACTATATATCTGATAATTCCAGATTCCATTATTTTAACTGACATCCATGATTTCTTTGGCTTCAGCCCGCCACAGCAGTAGGGTTAGAGTAGCAGTCAGCCCCTGCCCAGGAACAACGGCAGGAGAGTGGCCTGGGGATGGAGCAGTCCCCAGGGCCAGAACAGCAGCCTGGGGCCGGAGCAGTGGCCACTGCCACTGAAGAAGTGGCCTCAGGAGCAGCAGCTGGGGCTGGATTAGCGACCAGGCTGGGTAAGCCCCACTGCAGGAGCAGCAGCTGAGGCTCTGACTGTCCTCCCCATCCCGGCAAGGGTATTTTTAGTAAAAGTCAAGGACAAGTCATAGGCTTACGTGAATTTTTGTTTATTGCCCGTGACCTGTCCGTGACTTTTACTAAAAATACCCAAGACAAAATCTTAACCTTAGTGATAGCTGATTATGACATCCCAGACCTTTAGAAGGACAGCCTTAAAACCATGCATTTTTATGACATGTTTTAAAAAGTAATGGAAATATATGAAGTAAAGCAAATTTGACTGATATGGACTTACCAAACCCTTGTCCAAAATGACATCGATTTCCAGGTATCTGGGGGATTTAGTGACATCTGACATTGACTGAAAAAAAAGCCTTCAACATTTCGTAATTATTTCAACATTTTACCTTTTGTATCACTTATTAACACTGTGAGATTAATTAATAAGGAGGTACATTCCTTAACACTAGATTTTTAGCTTGACTACCTATGCTCAGCTGTGCTGCTCAAAAACACCACCATTATCCTTTCATGGAGAGAGTTCTATATTTCTGGAAACAATCATAACCTTATAAACCTATGGTACATTATTTGTTAGACTAAAAGATTCAGTAATACAAATAACAATAACAGATTCCAAAAACTTCAACATAATTTGGTCTTAATTTCTGTACCACAATATTAAGAAAATAGAGATGAGTATAAAACAGACTACACAACTGATAACAACGCTAAAGGTATGTCTGCACTACGGGATTAATCCGAATTTACAGAATTCGAATTTTGGAAACAGATTGTATAAAGTCGAATGTATGCGGCCACACTAAGCACATTAATTCGGCGGTGTGCGTCCATATACCGGGGCTAGTGTCGATTTCCGGAGCGTTGCACTGTGGGTAGTTATCCCATAGCTATCCCATAGTTCCCGCAGTCTCCCCCGCCCATTGGAATTCTGGGTTGAGATCCCAGTGCCTGATGGGGCAAAAAACATTGTCGCAGGTGGTTCTGGGTACAGCCTCACCCCTCTCTCCATGAAAGCAACGGCAGACAACCATTTCACGCCTTTTTTCCTGGGTGAACACTGCAGATTTCATACCACAGCAAGCATGGAGCCCCCTCAGCTCAAGACAGCAGTCATAAACATTGTAAACACCTCGCGCATTCTCGTGCAGTTTATGCTGAACCAGGACCAGAAAAACGAGGCGAGGAGGAGGCGGCGATGGCAGCGCAGCGACAAGAGTGATGAGGACATGGACATGGACACAGAATTCTCTCAAACTGCGGGCCCCGGTGCTTTGGAGATCATGTTGTTAATGGGGCAGGTTCTATCCATGGAACGCCGATTCTGGGCCCGGGAAACAAGCACAGACTGGTGGGACCACATAGTGTTGCAGGTGTGGGACGATTCCCAGTGGCTGCGAAACTTTCGCATGCGTAAGGGCACTTCCATGGAACTTTGTGACTTGCTGTCCCCTGCCCTGAAGCGCCAGAATACCAAGATGAGAGCAGCCCTCACAGTTGAGAAGCGAGTGGCGATAGCCCTGTGGAAGCTTGCAACGCCAGACAGCTACCAGTCAGTCGGGAATCAATTTGGAGTGGGCAAATCTATTGTGGGGGCTGCTGTGATGCAAGTAGCCAAAGCAATCACTCAGGTGCTGCTACGAAAGGTAGTGACTCTGGGAAATGTGCAGGTCATAGTGGATGGCTTTGCTGCAATGGAATTTCCTAACTGTGGTGGGGCGATAGATGGAACCCATATCCCTATCTTGGCACTGGAGCACCAGGGTACCCAGTACATAAACCGCAAGGGGTACTTTTCAATGGTGCTGCAAGCACTGGTAGATCACAAGGGACGTTTCACCAACATCAACGTGGGCTGGCCGGGAACGGTTCATGATGCTCGCGTCTTCAGGAACACTACTCTGTTTAAACGGCTGCAGCAAGGGACTTACTTCCCGGACCAGAAAATAACTGTTGTGGATGTTGAAATGCCAATAGTTATCCTTGAGGACCCAGCCTACCCCTTAATGCCATGGCTCATGAAGCCATACACAGGCAGCCTGGACAGGAGTCAGGAGCTGTTCAACTACAGGCTGAGCAAGTGCAGAATGGTGGTAGAATGTGCATTTGGACGTTTAAAAGGTCGCTGGCAATCGTTACTGACTCGGTCAGACCTCAGCCAAACCAATATCCCCATTGTTATTGCTGCTTGTTGTGTGCTCCACAATCTCTGTGAAAGTAAGGGGGAGACCTTTATGGCGGGGTGGGAGGCTGAGGCAAATCGCCTGGCTGCGGATTACGCGCAGCCAGACACCAGGGCGATTAGAAGAGCACATCAGGAAGCACTACGCATCAGAGAAGCTTTGAAAACCAGTTTCATGACTGGCCAGGCTACAGTGTGAAATTTCTGTTTGTTTCTCCTTGATGAAAACCCTCCCCCTTTATTGACTCATTCTCTGTAAGGAACCCACCCTCCCCCTTCGATCACAGCTTGCTTTCAAAGGAAATAAAGTCACCATCGTTTAAAAATCATTTATTCTTTATTAATTGATTATAAAAAGAGGGAGAGAA